TATCCATCGTAGTACCGAGTCTGGCCAGCCTTGTGCCTGCATTTGCCATATTAGACGGTAGTTTAGGACAGCCTCGAATGCTCCTTGTACATCCATCGTTACAAAGTTGGATGTATTGAAAGGCTATGCTGAGCTGGAATGACGTACCGTTAGGATGAAGGTATGGAAGGAGGTAGCTATGGCTTTAAGAGAAGTAAAGTTCGTGAGTTATACTCTTAGGACTTGGATCAATGGACGAACTTGAGGATATTCCCTAGTATTCTCAAGTGTGTAAATAATATGGAGATTGTTTGAATTTCCTATTGTATGAATTGCTTCATTTATCTACGTGACAGGACCTTCTTCTATATACATGAATAAGGGAGTTCTGCACACTAGTGGATGTTCCAACATCTGTCCTTGTCTAACCGAGAAAGGAAGGATGTGAGAGATCCTAGCGCCAATAGATACCATTAGGAATCTATTGGGAAATACTATGTCATACCAATGAGTGATGATTTAGGTCAATCATATCCCATGGCGCATGTGCACATTATTCTAATGTGAACAGTTTATTGTAATGCAGTCATGTTACTCCCTTAATTACAACAGGATGCTCATCCTTGAGATCGAGCTTCCTCGACATCGTGCACTACTGAAGATACCAGATCATTTGCCCATCGTTTTGGTAGTGTGCCAAACTGCTGGTGGCCTACAACGTCTAAAGTGATGGCTAATGATAACATCCTTTTCGCAAAGATTCTCTCTAGTCCCTTGCCTAGACATGAGAGGAGTACAATTGGTCTCCATCCTTTGGCCGTTGATAAATCACGACCGCTTTTCGGTAGGAATATGACTTCCGCCAGCTTGAAGCATGCCGGATGGTAACCAAGTCTCAGGCGTACTTAAAAGAGTTGTGTTATATATCTCCCAATACTGCTCCAGCATGCGGCTAGCAATGCTACTGAGATTCCGCCTGCACCAGGACAGGTATTACCTCCTCCAATGGTACATGACTGAGCTTCCAGCTCTGATAGCTCCTCAGACCATGGAATCCGAGGCTCTGCTGACCTTGTGCAAGGTGGGAGATTGTCTGTTTCCAGGTGACAGTCCAGTAGTAGATCGCGCAGAATTGTCGCTCGCTCTGCCTGGTCTGACACTAGCTTCCCATCATGCCGAAGGGGTGGCGGGATTTTTTGGTGTTTCGGGGCCGCCCACCTCATCATCTTGTAGACGTCCGAGCACGACCGCATCGTTTCTATCCGCTTCTTCCGGTGCTCTCTCTTGGCTGATGCTACTGTAGACCTCATGATTTTGGCGTAGGTAGTCCGTTCTTCCTCGGTATATGCCGAGCGATAGCTATGATGAGCCTCTTTGCACTTTGGAGTCAACCAGGACGCAGACCTACCGCTTCCTTGACTACGTCTCTTTCCGAACGCTTTCAATCCGTCTGTTAAGGCCTGACAGATCGCTTCTGCGTATCTCTCAACATCGCTAGTCGACTCCAAGGATTGCGGAGCTGAGATCCACTGGGATACTGCTCGTACGAAGTCCGGAAGCTTTTCTTTCGAGACTCGCAGTGAGCCTTGACATTCTTCCTCTGCATGACTTTTACTAGTTACCAAGCCGCAGACAGGAAAATGGTCGCTTGTCACGCACTCACTCCGCTCTACCCATGCCTGTGCCCCCGTAACATTTGTCCATACTAGATCAAGCGTATTTCCGGCTCGATGCGTAGGCTCCCCAATGACAAGACAAGTGAGGCGGTGTTGCTCAGCCCAGGCCTGTATTTTCTCGCCGTGACCATACGAGCGCGTCGTACCCGGTTGCCATGCCCAGTAAATGGAGTTGAAGTCGCCTGCGATTACTGATGCTGGCGGAGGTACCCAGGTGGTTACTGGTTCGATTGCTGCGTCGTTAATGTGCGCCCTGTACACATTGAGAAATGTGACATTGTTGACAACTACCCAGCAGTAGTCTCCGGTCAGCGAAGAACATGGGAAAATCTGTTTGGCAAATATTTCCTTCTCCTTCGTTCGAGTATACCTTACGGCTCGTGGCCGAACGCCTATCTCGCCGTGCGGGATGTGCAGAGTGTATCCAGGGTGAGATTTTGTCTCGCTGGACCACCAAGGCTCCTGTACAAGCACAACATCAATGCCTCTCTCGAAGGCTCGAGAAAGCGCAATGTCGTGCGTTGGACACCCCCTACCAACATTTATTGACATAAACTTGAGCTTTGGTAGGGATGAACGACGCCGTGAGGCGCCTTTCATGAACGGGGGGTGGTATCAGTCGGCGTGACTAATGCAGGTGGTAAGGCGGACGAGCCTTGGATACTCGTACTCCCTGATCTAGTGTTGGCGAGGCTGGCTGCTCGCGTTTTGTCAGCCGCCGCTTTTGCCCTTCTGACCGCCTCGAACTGTCCCTGTAGTCTATGATGGTCAACTTAGGCCTGATTCAAGTGGAGCTTTTGATCACCACCAATGCGCTAATGTGCGACGCCGCCCAATACAATACTTTTGCGTCGGCATTTGCATGGTATTCACATGGCATCGGACTCGACAGCTCGGCACTGCACCACATGTTGATAGCCTTACACTGACTGGAAATATTCCATACCGAGTACAATCCCCTCAGACCACAACGTGAAAGTGCTGTATTATAGATATAGCCAGAACACTAGAAGAGTCCCATAGCACAGGAAAAGTAGAGGGATTAGCCTCGGTGGCAAGGAGTCTTAAAGTTCTAGGGGGTATCTGGAATGATAGAAGTGAACGTTGACCGTCAAGTCAATACTGTACGAATCGTAAGATATTGGGGATTTAAGGATCAGAGATAAAAGGTTAGGATCAGTGAGGTTTTGGTTTTACTGAACTTATATATCGGTAGTTAAAAGTGTTAGTGTTTAATCTACATCCAATTGTCTATCTATGTTCTACCTCGCTTAGGTAGAAACAATGTGTTCTGATTACGTGATGCAAAAACATTCACACCGCCGAGACCTCACCAAAGCTGATAGCGATCGAAGATGAGTAGTCTTCGTCTACTCAGCACTGCGTGCAGTTCGGTCTGGCATACCTAGATTTCAACAAGGAGGCTTTCACGAATATAAATGACTAGATAGATATAGTGAAAGTTCTCTCCTTAGAATTATTATTTACTACTGTCGGTATATCACGGGTATTAAATGTGCTAGCACAATAGGCTCTGAATTTCAGAGGGGTTAGTTGTTCTTTTCTTCTCTTCATCTAAGCTATCTGGGGGACTATTCTCAAAAGCAAATGGGTGCAGGACTTACTACTTTTGTCAGGACTCGATCTACAAACATGGCTGTAGTTCTCAAAAGTTTGTGGGGCACAACTTCATAAGCTATGTCTTTATTATGGCGAGAAATTCTTGAATCGAGGTTTAAGCGGAAAGTTCGCAGAAGTTTCAAGGGAATGATCTCAACAAATTTGAGATATTCACAGTTAAATTATCATCAAAGGAAATGCGCTAGCTTGGCTCGAACCTGCTAAGGTTAGGGCTGAGGTTAGGACTAGATCTTGTGCTAGCCTAAGTTAAATAATTGTAGAATCTTTAGTTATACTCATGGAAGCTGGAACTTTCATAAAGAAGATTTCCAGCCTCCCAATCTTTCAATATTTTAGTCTTTAAATTTGCATTCTACCAATCATATAATATTATAATATTATAATATTATGATCTTATATTCTCATAATATTATATTCTCAGTCTTTTACTACTTGTCACATTCTTCGTACTTCATTTGATCTTAAGTAATCAGGTTATCTCGCTTGCTCTGCAATTTGACTTCTCTACCAGCTCTTTTGACTATCCTTTGTCTCTTCGGCCCTTAACCATCTAGTACCTCACTAGTTGAATTATATCTAGCTATTCTTGGTTAGTATTTAGAATCGTCATCACTATATTACCTTCGCAAGATGGCGATCTACAGTTAATTTAGCGCACGCCGTGACGGTCTTCCCATTCCTATGGGCTAGCGTATTTTAATGTTCTTCACTGATTATTAGAGTAATTAATTTTTTTAAAATTTTGTTGATCAACGTGATTGCTTGAATCTAACTGATGTGAGGGTAATTAGTGCGCAAAAAAATAAATACATGCTCTTGGAAAAATCGACACCCATTATTGGATATGATGGTCACCTTGAAATTGGAAACAATAATTGTGCCACGTTTGATCAAAGATCTAAACATGCTTATGAAAAATTATCCCCTCAAAGCTTGTTTTTAAAAGGTAAATAAAATATTTCATTAAAACAACTAGAATATATCGGAGATATATGTATAGTACTCTTTCCTGATCGAATTGTGAAAAAACAAACCTCTCGCATGAAATTTTCAAAATTCTCTATCAACAAGCAATCGGGGCTCAAACAAGAAGATAAGGATATTGATGTAACTATTTTTTTCTTCATAAATTGAACCTTTTTATTTCCATGAAATTCTGTGGCCTCTTAGATGTAAGCTTTTATGCGAAGCTAATTTACAAAATTCGAACAAATAAGCTTATGGTAGGCATTTTCTTCGTGTATCGCCTCATGTTTACTTATCTTTAGAAGTCGGAGTGAGGATGTAAAAAGATGACAAAATTTTCAAGCCCTCATAGCTCTATATCAAGAAAGAGTCACCCTAGCTAGATATTGGAGTAAACATGTGGTTCCCTCGACAATGATCAATTTCTAGACCCTACAAGTCAAAGATAGGTTTAGTGGAAGAACAGTCATTGAACCTTCCATGACTTACCCTACTCAATACTATGACCATAGAACACTTATAAATCCTGAGGTTAGAAGTCCTCCAGTTTTATGGATCAAGTTTGTCCTACTTTATTTCATCTATTTTGTAATCATTCATTAAAACAGCGATCAGTAATTAATTACTGATTTTATCAACTTATTCAAAGTTCTAATTCTCCTCTCGTTTTTAATCTTAACCTTTCAAGAATCTAATTCTTAACCACTCGTTACATCCTATTAACTGGGGAATTTCGTCATGCTGCCTATCGTTACACTCGTATTATTTTTGGTAATATTGATATCAGCAGCCCCGAAGTAGGTCGTACTTTTTTTAGAAGTTTAAAAAATCTGACAATAAAGGGAAATCTCTTCTAGGCAGGGAAATTTCTCATGGGGATCAGAAAGAGTACGTGGCCTTGTAAGAACTATATATATTGTTTAAAAGAACAAGCTGTCTGATAATAAAATAGAACATCGGTGGTTGGCTTGTCCTTGAACCCTGGATTACCCCCTCAATTTTTGATAACCTCGATCAATCTCTCGGTATTAAAGACGAATTTACCCTCGGCCAAAAATTAAAAAGCTCTACAGCTCATGAAATCCTGAAGCGTCATGTTCGTATTCTAAGCATGAGGAAAGCTTTTACTGATGTTATTAAGTGGGATAGCTGGGTAACATTTCAAGACTTTCAGAGAATTTCAGATGTAGGCTTTAATACTGTTCGCATTCCTATCGGCTACTGGGCATACATGACATTAGAGGAAGAGCCATATATTCAAGGAGCTGCTCCCTATCTCGATTCAGCAATTAACTGGGCAAGGTTAACAGGTCTCAAAGTATGGATAGATCTGCACGGTGCCCCTGGAAGTCAGAATGGCTTTGATAACAGCGGCCATTTTGTTTCCAAGCCGCTGTGGCAATCTTCTAACAAAGTTAACGTCACTCTAAATATTCTTCATAATATTACAGTAAAATATACGCAGCCAGAGTATCAGGATGTTGTAGTTGGAATTGAGCTTCTTAATGAGCCTCTTGGGCCAGAGTTGAGCCTTGATTCACTGAAGAAATTTTACCGAGATGCTTTTAATGATATTCGCGCTGTTAGCCAAACTACAGTCATCTTGCATGATGCGTTCATGCAGCCAAAATTCTGGAATGGATTTCTAAGCGTATCAGATAATGACTCGCATAGCGTCGTAATTGACCACCACGAATATCAAGTCTTTACAAATGAATTAGTAGCCCTACAGCCTCATCAGCATCAACAACTTGCTTGTGATAATGCTGTTTCTTACTCTGAAGGTTCTGATAAGTGGATAGTGGTGGGCGAATGGACTGCAGCAATGACGGATTGTGCTGTTTGGCTTAATGGCTACCATGTTGGTTCTCGCTACGATGGGTCTTATCCTGGTTCTTCGTACGTTGGTAGCTGTGAAGATAAAAAAGAGATCAAGAACTGGAATGAGACATATCGCCGGAACATGCGTAGTTACATCGAAGCCCAACTCTCCGCTTTCGAGACTTATACTCAGGGCTGGATATTTTGGAACTTCAAAACTCAAGGTGCTCACGAATGGGATGCGTTCGCACTCCTAGATGCAGGTATATTTCCACAGCCGTTAGAGGGGGTAAAATCTTCAACGGCGTGTCCAAAGTGAGGTTCTGAGAAGAGAGAATCGTTGATGAAAATAACCATGTGGCTCTATGGAGAGGCACTAAGTGTAATATACTTTACGTAGATTTCTCTTAAAAAAGTATCATTTGCTAAAGTATTGAGCGATGTGGCTTTTGAACACCAAACCACTGTCTAAAGAAGCTGAGAGGGCCCCCAAATTTTGTTCAATGTTTGAACCTCACAGACACCGAATATTCTTGGTAGCTCACATAATCTAGCTCTCATAACGAGTAATTGGACCACTTGGAATTTATCTGTGTCAAAATATACGGCGTTAAGGGACTTCAAATACCTATCAGCGGTGTCCTCTACAAACGTCAAGCTCTCACTGTCAATGCTGTAGAGAAGATGTTAAGTAAAATCTTCGTCTTCTCTGAGATAAGGATTTATAATCTCTTGCGTGATCTTAATGTGACTTCGCTTAGGTGATAGTAATATATATATATATATATATATTTTTTTTTTTTTTTTGCATCAGATTTTAATTGCATATGCAGCTATCTAGCTATGACACAATATCAAAGAAAAGTACAGAATAGATGATTCATCGTTAAGGAAGAGCACTCATGCCTCAGATTTCATTTGCAAGTAACACTGCGAAGTTATGGTGGCTTTTTCTTCACCCCAAGTCAAGCCTCATCCGTGAATACCCATCCAGGGGAACGTCTCAAAAACCCTGTTATCTAGACATGCCTCCATCATCTTTCAACTTTTCTCCGCGCGAAATATGGTCTGAGGCGTCTCCTTCTCAAGTGGAGTAGGTTCCCAGGCTGCTCAGACTACACCGGAGAACGCCACCAGGAGGCAGACCACGATACCACTCATCGTTTACTCGTTTTTATAGTGAGAGCTGCAATCTCGCAACCGAAGACTTGGCACGCACAAAGCTCAATTTGTAAAAACTCCTTTCCAAAATTCGGAATTTCACGCCCTTCGAGGTCATATCCTTCCTTTGCATCATATTATCAACTTGTCCTGATCCCTCTCGGGTCCATCCCAGAGAACAGTCTCCCAGATTTGTGCTCCACGCTTCGCTTCCTCCGTTGGGTGTAAATATCGGCGTGGGCGTGTATTTGGTGACCAGCTGAGGCCAGAGAAGGTCGAAGAGTGGTGTGGTCATTGGAATGAGGATGTACTTGGTCGTACTTGTAGACTGGATGAGACGAAGATAGGAGTCAAACTCGTTGGGAGCGAAATAACGACGTGGATGAGTAATTTGGATTTTTGCCTCGTAGGCCAACTTCTTTGATATTGCGAAATTTGACTGAACTTGGCTCTGGGAGAATATTTCACTCCCAGGTTCGTAGAGGACACCGCGTACAGGTGTTCAGTCTTGCCCTCCTATATATATATATATATATATGTATAAACTTGATTCTCTATTCTATCTAACGAAAGCTTGTGACAAAAATTGAGTCTTATGAATCAAATCCATCCTGTTTACCTAAACAGGTCTTTTCAGAGTCCCTGGCAGCTCTGCGACAATGGAGAATATCTAGACATGAACCAGCACCAATAGGACTAGTTATGTTAACAGAAAACTGATGGGAGGAATTCTTTAAGTATATAGCCGTAACGAGTGTTGTAATGGAAGTTGTATAGAGTAGCGTAAGCTGTTAGGCTTGTATTTAATATCACCTAGTGAAGCGTGTTGGGAGATTGAAGAGTCTGAAAACTATGGTGGAGAGTTGTTGATTAAACCCACTTAGTATCAGAGCGCTATTTAAACTAATTACTACAGCTAAGCGAAGGACACGATTCACTAGCTTATGCTAGATAATTTGGAGGCTGGTCAATGTATGAGCCGTCATGAACATCCTAGTAATATTCGAACCTTATTACATTACATGTTAATGCGACTCTTCATTACTAAGTAGCGCCACTTTCAACACCCCTTCTCACTTTGTACCGAAGATACTGGTGCATAAGTGCATAAGTCTTGGTTTAGGTAGGCCTTTTGTACAGATGTCCGCAAGGTTCTCGGCTGACAGAATATGTAGAAGAATTAGAGTTCCATCTTCAACTCGTTCTCTGGTGAAATGATAAGCGATGTCAATGTGTTTTGTTGCATCATTGAGCTTAGGATTATGTGCTAGATCAATAGCTGAAATGTTATTGGTTGACAAAGAAGTTGGTATATTTTTATCCAATATTTGGTTAAGTCCTCTTACAATCTAAAGGAATTGTTTCGTTGCAAACAACAGTGCCATATATTCAGCTTCACAAGTGGAGTGAGCAACGGTGCGTTGCTTGCGAGACTTCCAGCAGATTGTGGATTGACCAAGTTGGAATAAATAACCAGAGAAACTTCTGCGTGTATCGAGACAATTTCAGTATGATGCGTCACAGTATCCATTGAGAACCAGGGGAGATTCAAATTTGTATAACAAACCGACATCTTTTGTCCCCTTGATATATCTTAGAGCTCGCTTGGCAGCACTTAGGTGAGTTAAAGATGGGTCTGAATTACATTGAGAGAGGTGAGAGATTGTATATGCAAGATCAGGTCTAGTGGCAGATATATATACATTATAGATCCGATTATTTGTAGATACAGAGTAGCATTGGCCCTAGGCTCTCCATTTTGCGTCGCCTTTAGTGGTTGGTTACACTTTATAGGCGTGGAGAACGTATTGCAATCTTGCATCGAAAACCTTTCAAGGATTCTATTTATGTAAGCAGACTGCGATAGAGTGATTCCTACATCAGAGTACTCAATCTGAATTCCAAGTAGCCAATGAAGAGTTCCCATATCCTTGACCTTGAATTCGGCTTTGGAGTGGTTTACTAAATTTCGATGAGCTCATCTTGTTCTCCAATTAGTACTATGTCGTCCACGTAAACTGCAATGATCATTTTACCTGTGTTGTGGATAAATACACAGAGATCAAATAGAGATGGAGCAAGACCATAAGGAATGATATATTCAGCCAACCTGAAAAACCATTTGTTGAAATATAGGGCTAATCCTAGTAATCAGGATTAACATGTGTCCTTTATGATGTTTAGACCCACCATTGTAGTATATATGTAGCGAAGCTCCCCGAGCCCTTAATAGAAATTAGTTGAACCAGTATATTCTTTTTACAGGTTATAGAGTCCGGTGATTACGCTGCTAGCGCAATATTAAAGATATACTTTATTACACTCACAACAAAAATCCACCATGTCTACAAAGTCATCGAAGTATGGTGGTACGAAACTGACTGGAGAGGACAGCTTTGACAACTGGAAGAACGATTTGGAAGACAGTCTAGTTGTTGACGGTCAAATCGACCTGATCGAAGCGAAAAGGGTCCCTGAGAAGAGCCTGGATGGGGAGATCGATGCAGCGGCTCGATCTGCAACGAGGTTATTACATGCGTAGGTATCTCTAAAGATAAGTCAGAGCGTGGATGAGAATCATCGATCAATAATTGGTGCTTTTAAGCATCCACAAGACAAGTACAACGCCTTGATATCGAAGTACGAAGGAAACAATGAGACACAATATCACCGCCTGGTAACGAGATTCACAGACATCACAGAGGGTAAATCGATGGGCATCCATGAGAAAGTCGAATTGATGAGAAAGCTGCGAGCACAAGTCTTGAAGATCAAACCGAAGAACGATATTCCTGAATGGCTCATGATTCATACTTTGAAGTTGAGCGTTGATGCGGAGCAATACGAGACGACCCTCCAAGTAATCAACCAAAGCACTGTGGAGTTAGAATTTGACGACATAATCTCCCGGTTGGCATCTAGGGAAACAGAGTTTACTTCTAATATTGCAACAGCAAACTGGGCAGGGAGAAGACAAGGAGGCTGCCAAGTGAGAGGCAAGGAGGAACACCACAGCAATGACACTACTAACATCGCTGACTTCAATTTAACTCCAAAGATCTCTACGAATGCTAAGCTCCTAGCTGGAGGAGGTTGTTTCTCTTGTGGAGGGCCGCACTTCCAGAATAAATGTCCAGTGTGGTTGAAAACGTCGGCAGGAAAAGCTTGGTTGGTTTCCCAAGTGCCTAGGAAGGAAAACGCAAAAGTAGCAAAGGTCTTGGATAGTGATACGGAATCGAATGCTTCTCTCTGTTTTATGGCCCAAAATAGTGATGTGAAACGAGTGATCTGGTAGCTTGATACATGTGCCTCCACCCACATTGCAAATCGTAAAGATGTGTTTGTAGAAGAGATATTAAGCCCTTCAAATACCTGCGTCGCCGCCGCGAATGGAGGAACTATTTATTCACAAGGATCAGGAATAGTCAGGATTCATTGGCAGAATAAGGAAGGAAAGGAAAGAATGACAACGGTCAAAAACGTTGAATACCTACCACAATGCACAAACAATCTGATTTCTGTCGGAAAACTTGAAGATGAAGGTGTCTCCTTGACAGTAGACTCACCTAACAAGATTATCAGCTTGACAAAGAAGAACAAATTGGCGTTAGAAGGAAATAGAAAAGGCAAAATGTGGAGGGTGCGCCCATTACATAAAGACATATCGAACAAGGTATTCAAGGCATTGCCGTCAACGCCAGATCTGATAAAGAAAAAAGTCACACTTGCACCTATTTTGGAGGCCCCTTTGGATGTATCCAATTCGAAAATCAAGGCAAGCAGAGCTCAAGTGGAGCTGCTGCATGCCCATTTAGGCCACCCAGGAAAGCAACAGGAGGCAGAGTTAAGAAAAATCTTGAAGGATTTACCTGAACATTCCTTTTGTCCATCCTTCTGCAATGCTTGCACACAGGGAAAAATGACGAGAAACCCGTCAAGAGAGAAAATGAGATCAGTATCAGCACTGCTCGAAAGGGTCCAAATGGATCTGTGGGGGCCGATCAGTCAGCATTCAATACAAGGGAATCGATATATGCTATCAATAACAGATCAACATACCGGTATGATCTGGGTGTATTTTCTAACAAACAAATCACAAGCTAAGGGCAAAGTTCGTGAATGGATTGATACTGTAGAATCTCAAAGACGCCGTTGGGG